GTGCAAATCAATGTCTTCAGCTGCTTACCTGTGTGTCAGAGGAAGGATAGGTCTCAGAAAGGAATGGACCGATGCTGCTGCCATCTCTCAAAGATCTTGGGAATACAAACACATTATTTTTTTATATAAGTTTACCATTAGACAACCCAGAATATTTCCTAGCAACCAGGATTTATATTCATCCCTAAATTTTCCTGTGTTTCAATAAAGCTAATCACTACTTTGAAAACAGGTGTAGTAAGGATCTGCTGCCCTGGATCCAAGATAGTCATTAACATTAATGCAAAGTGGGAATAACTGCTAATATTGGAATTTAGTGGCCTTTTGAGCTCATATTGACCTGGCATAATGCCATAGTCTGACATTAATGTCAAAGTTTGAAGAAAAAAAAAAAAAGGTTTATTGAGAATTTCACAACTTTCTACTTAGTAAGGGCCTATAGACAAAACAAAAACCCACTTCACAAGTGGATTGATTATGGTCATTGGCAGGTTTGCTTCCATCTTTCCTCACAGGTAGCAATAGACAGTGAAAACTCCAGGGCCACAACTAAAATAAACAGATTTTGTACCTGAGGGAAGCAGGGGACATCAGTTTTCCAATGCCTAAATAATTAATATCCAGCAGTTGAGAGATACAAGTTAATATAATATACTGTGGTTTCAAAGTGTACTATAGAAAAAGAATAACAATAATCCAAATGTCATGCTGAGATCTGCCACTGTACAAACCATAAGGTCTCCAGACAGCTTGCTCAAAGGTTTTCAGATTGACGTTGCTGTCCAAGCACCACCCCTAGATCTACCCTGAGAAAAAGGTGATGCTCTTATGCCTAAGTCTCTTAATGAGCACAGACTTCTAAAATACATTGAAAGTATCACTTTGCATTTGGGGTTGCAGTGAGTGAGTGTTTCATCTGGCCACTGATGTACGAATACCTCTTCCCAAACCAGACTGATAGCTACCCTGTACGGGGATGAAATCAGGGAAGGGTGTTTCCCAGGACATTAAGACCACATATCACAACAAGTGCTGAGTGCTCCTGACCAATGATCACCATTGCACTAAAAAGATTTTAGTTGTAGAAAGAGCTCTACCAGCCTAATGTGTCTCCTCCTCACTCCCTGTTCCTGTGTCAGTCTTTGAACAGAGCAAGGACTCCATTGGCTTTTTGTCATATTAAAATCCACAATTTGTCTTCTGAAGCTGAGTCAAAGAAAGACTCCTATAAAGCAATGAAATATTTAATATTTTATTTAATATTTTATGTATCTGCTAATTGTCCTTTGGGCAAACAGAGAAATATATAAATAAAAACAGGGACTTGCAATTCAAGTAATTTATTTTGGGAGAATATTTGTGTACTTTTCTCCAGGTAATAGAAAAATCTCAGAAATCTCTTCCTATTTGTGTTCACAGCATCTAGCACACTCTTAAGTGTGATGCTTACTGTTGCTACCCAGTTATTGCCTCCTGTAAGCAGCAGGTTATTGCTTCTCATGCCTGCCACAGGAAAACTCAGCAAGCTCATTCCTCACCTTCTATATTTGGAGTGAGATGCTGTTCCTGTCTACAGCTACCTTATATATTAACATATGGTCAATAATACAGTGCCTATCTAAAAACTGTCTTACTTCCTCTCCTAAAATTAGCATTTCACTTTTTTACCTAAATGCATAACTCACAGTTGTTTAAAACCATCACAGCCGAATGTTGTTTTTTTTCTACTTCTTTGTTCCTGAACACCTTAGAATCCCAGGACTTTGAAAAATACTGTGTTTGTGAGAGAGGCTTTGGTTAGGTTTTTCACAGAACTCTTTTCTCCAAAGCTAGCTTTTCTTTATTAACACACATATTCAACTGCAAAGAACAGCCATCTACTCAGTTACATCAGTTATAATGCTACACAATTCTCAGCTGTATACATGGGAAGGAGAAAGATGGTCTCTTTATTCAGATGAACAGGCTAATACTAATGAATTTAAGCTAAATGTTCACATATTTTAAAAATTTTCATCTCCAAACCTAGTAACTTTTCAGACAAGTTAATGTACCACATGACATTATCAAGAAGAGCTACTTTACTTGTTAACGTGTCTTAGCTAAAGAGCATTGAACTATTTGTGTGTACTAAGCCTAAACAGGACCTGCTTATCCCATCCTGATGGATATGCATTTGGAAACCCATCTGCTTATTTGCTTCCCTTCACTTATGACAAGGTAGTTGCAAATCTTCACCTGTACTCAAGAACTTTGTTCCCACCTTGGCTATTCACTATCTCTTGTTCTATTTAGACTGTGGCTTTCAGTCATTCTTCCAAGGCTTAAGATAATTTTCAAATGAGCCCTTTATAAATTTGCTTTGATCCCAGTTTTGGCAGGCAGCTCCTGTCACATATTTTGATTGTTACTTTACATAGAGGTCCCCATCCAACCCAGCCAAAGAGCAAAGAAGAGGAACGGCCTCCAAATATGGCGAGAGCGGAGCCGCTTTCTGGAGCGGTTTAGCACATCAGCACGCATAAGAATGAAGAGAACTGGAACAAGTTTTAAATAATGCTCTAAATAGAATGTGGTGAAATGTTCAGAACTTAAAACTACTACAGAAAATTGTGAAACAGATAGGATAACTAAGTCCCCATTAGTAAATACAATCATGTGCAACTCTAGCAAAAAAAGGATGCTTCAACTCTCTGAAATAATGCCCAGTGTAACAAAGGTTAAGCATAAGTCTTTAACATAATATTTGGTTTATAAAGAGCTAGATAAATGTATACCATCAAACATGAAGGGTGTTTTTATTTTTTTTAATTATTATTTTTTTTTCTTCCAAGCTGTTATACTGGACATTTGTAATTGCTTGCCAGAAAAAACAGTTTTCAGTACCCACCAACTGAATCTTAATTCAGATCACATAATTCTTTTGCTTTTAATTAGGATTATTTTATTTCTCCCCACTGCTGTTGGCTGCTCCTTTCATTTAGTCTCTCAACTTAAAATTCATGCTACTTCTCTGTATTCTGTGTGTGGATTATGATGAGGCCAATTACAAGAAGGTCTCAAACTGCAGTAACATTAATCAAGTGAACTTGATTAATACATGCATTAATACATGTATTGTAGCCAACAATAACTATTTCGCATTGTTAAAGGCCACATTATTTATACAAGTCTTTAAATAGGAAAATATAAGAAATGTCTGATTCTGGAAATACATAAGCCTGGCACTCACATACTTCATGCGCACACAAAAGTCAAGACCACATCTCTCATTGAGTCAATATATTTTTTTCCATAATAGCAGTACCTAGCACCTGTTGTAATGTGACTCCTATTCTCGTCCTCCGTTTTATAAACAAAGGAAAGCAAATTTGATGCTAGCCTCTTTGATAAAGGAGTGCTTTGGGCTATATACCCAAAAGTAGTTGCACTGCAGTTTATCCCAAAGGTTTGTATAATTTAATTTATTTATTTAATTAACTTAGGAAAATCTCAATTCTCCCAGAGCTCATTTTTAACTTCTACAGTACACAAAAGAGTATATCAGATACTTTGGCTATGTAAATTTTGAAAAGTAATAATTTGTGATCTCACAATGTTACTTTAAAAGTTAAATATCTAACTGTGGTAGCTTTCGAATCCTAAAATATGGGAGCTGATATCTATAAAGGAATTGAAACAATAAACAGCATAAACACTTTGAATTGCTTTTTGTTATACAACTGTGATGATTTAATTTAGAAGAGCATGTAAAAATTCCCTTAAAATAGTGCATTGAAGAATGCTTATTGAAATGAAATTCTATGCACAAGGCAAGTCTTTTTTTTTTTAAGTGACATTTTGCATTTTGTGATTGTGTTCCTTAAAAATAAGTACTAAGTAATCTAAAATTAGCAAAATATAAGCATGTTTAAGCTATGAATTGTAAGTTAATGAAATAAGCTACTTTAATGACAAAAACTTATTACCAGGAAATAGAAATACTTATGGCTTGAGAGTCAGCAGCTGTTTTTAAAGGATGCATTAAGCTGCTGTTATTTGGACAAAGCTCTGGCCTCCAAGAGGCAGATTTTAATGCATTGTACAAGTCCTTAGCGAATTGCAAAATAAATTCATTAAATTTAAATGGAGAGTGTTTTCTGTAAAGATGTCCCAGGGAGTCAATTTTCAAGGAATTTGTAACGTAAGCAGCAAGTTATCGGAGAAGGAGACATTCATCACCTAAGAAGGCCCCAAATTAATCATTTAGAGAAAGAGGTGGTATGACACTTTTTGGCACTGCACTTGTCAGACTCCACGAGAAGCCAGACACCCACTTCAAGTACCAGTAGAGGCAATCTGGCCAGCCATGTGCTGCAGACCCCAAATTTCATTGGACACTTTCTAACTTTCTTATGGAAGTGGCCAGTTTAAAGTTAATACTACAATGGCAGAGGGACTAAGAAAGCAGAGGTGCCAGATCTTGCTCGTGAAGGATGCTCTGTTACCTTCTTCTGTTAAAAAAAGAATCTGGCACATGCTGGGCAAACAGATCCCTTAAAATTGCAATCCTGTGCTACTAACTTCAGCTTTTTGTTGGTGGTGTTCATTTTGTTTCGCTTTCCCTCTCCAAGAGTGAAATCTATCCAATGTGTCTCTGCTTGGTCCCTCTTCATCACATAGCAGATCCTTTTAAGGCTAAAGCAAAGGATGATCCCAGGAAGCTCTTTCCCTTTTGAATACTGGACTTCACTTAAATATTGCAGGTACCTAAAAGCTTATTAAATTGCTCACTTTTAAACTTAATCTCCATATAACTGCCATTGTCCTCCAGGATGGGATGTATTGATACTTAAATAAGCATTGCACAATACCTTAAAATGGCATATGGTTTTCAAACTGGAATGTACTGAGCGTGGTAGCCTTCCATCACATTATTCATATGTAGAACAGACAAGAGAGTAACAGCTTCCTTTAACAGCTAGTCTCACCCCTCCCTCAGAAAATGGCACTAGTACAAATTAAGTGAACATTTCATTTATTAACGTGGAATGGGGGAATGAGAGATTTGATTTTCATAATTCCTTGTAACTTTACTAACATGTTCAATGTTATACAAAAGGACAACATTTCACAAGTGAGCTGCAGCCAAAGTTTGCACAACACCCCCTTAACAACAGATTAAACAACTTAAATATGAAAATGAAATCCTGATTTTTACCCTGTATGGTTCTATAAAGAACTGACTCAAATAACTTTAGGATATATGTAATTGAAGAGAGACAAATTGTCCATAATAGTCCTTCTAGTTTACATCTAAGTATTTCAATAGATTTTTAACTGCTAAACTATTTTTAAAGTATCCTTGAAAAACCTTTATTAAGTCCCCAAAGAGGTTCAGTGTAGGACCCGGTCATGCAGCCAGTTAACTGCAAGGAAAGGAAGCACATCCAAATGAATTTCAAGCCTCCTCATGTGACTGGGTGAACTACCCATAAAATTATTCTTCTCTGAGCTCAGGACTACCCTCTGTACCTCCTTAGAAGCCAAGGAAACTACAAATGTGCAGGGACAGACTTTGCTGTCTTGCTGCCTCTAGAAAGAAGGAAAGAAGACACGCAGAAGCATCTTTTGCTGAGAACAGTGCGCTGAAGTGATCGTTGAAAAAGTACCCGTGGGGCAAGAAGATACCAGTTTTCTGCCATTCTGGGTGGGTTGTATTTTGTCAAGCAGAATAACAAAATCTGCAGTTTGTCCTCATGCTAAATGCAACTCAAAACTGCAGTGCCAAAGATCTAGCAGTGTTAACACAACCAGACAATCAGAGGAGTGGTGCATTTCAAAGAACTGCCGCTGCCATGTAAAAACGACATTTATTTTAGCACATTAATAACATGCCCCTTTTTCCCCCCCGATTGTAAGGTTTGGACACTACTGAAGAGACCTCCTACAACAACTGTCCTGCATTTACCACTCATGTAGAACCATCCTTAAGGAACTAGCCCTCTCTACGACTTCTAAGTCTTAAAACCTTGGGCCTTACAAACATGTATTTAAGTGGGGCTTAGAAGTTACATGCTTTGCATAACACAGATTAATATCACAATTCAAGGAATACCATGGTAGTGCATCGTGGTGCTTTATTAGTGTTAGACATGCAATTTTTTTTTTTTTAATGGACAGAAATTAAAATATTAAGATAACATTTTAATCAAATTAAAGGAGCTGAAGTTGCAATAATGAAACAAAAATAAAGCTTTTCATGCATTCTAAGTTTATAGTTCTCACATGTGCATATAGTTGTGATTCTGTACCATTATTAAATTTAGACAAAGTACCATTGATTGCACAAGACAAGAATCAACCTTCAAGTTATAAGTAATGCTCATATCTTTTACAAACTTCCTGTATAACCTGGATCTTCAGCTTTTTATAGCACATTGTAATAATACAAGACATCTGGAAGCTTCTAAGATGAATAGGAATGGCTCTATCGCTTGTAATATACAGTGGCTTCTTCGATGTATAAATTGTGAAAAGATAAAGCAAATGCCCACTATGCTTTAAAAGACCATGACTTTTTCCAACAGAAACAAATCTCAAAATCCTTCATAAACAGATTAAAGTGCTACCTATTGCATATCAAATACTTCCAGTGCCTGTATCTAGATTTAGAAGTTATAAATCCCTGAAAATAGGGTTTCATTCTCAAAGTGCTGACAGACCCTTAAATCTAGCATCATGAATACAGCAGCACTATAATCCTTCACCACGGACTTCAAAGAGAGGAAGTTAGTCAACATGCTTTAAATATCGCCATTTGAAAATCATACAGCTAACGCCTCTATCGTATCTACAACAGTAATGGATACGTAAACAGCAAAAAAGCAGGAGCTTACTTTACATACTTGATACAATAATTTTTCTTTAAAGCTGGAAGTGTAAATAAACCTCCAGTGCAGCAGTAAACATATTAAGACAACAGTTCTGTTTGTTTTAAGATGCTTCTAAGAAAGGGCATCCTGTACGGAAAGAACTGCACACTAGTACCTAAGGAGTATGAGTTTCATTAGGTCCCCACATCATGAAACCTTTCTAAATGCAAGGCAACATTTTCACAGCTGGAAAATTACAAATAGTTCTTGATACACAGCCAACAGCAATAAATGTAGTTATGTATAATCTAAGGAGAATGCTACATTCATTAGTAGGTGGAAAACCAAGCTAAACATAAAATACAGCAGCAAGAGGTAACGTACATAAATATTAAAGAAAATATTTCTGCTCTTGAAGAGCAGAAAGTTTTGTTACTTGCAAAATTAAAATATGGCCTTTTTATTTGTTCTTTAAAGTAAGTAAAGTACATTGCTATGAGCAGAGCTGTTTTGAAGGAGAATTTCCAAGTCCATTGTGTGCATGGATGAACTTTTATACTAAGTTCTGACAGATCAAAATAATGTAGAGATATCCAAAATTTTCATCCCTCCAAGTGTAAAGGGCAAGAAAAACTAATTGTAAGTGGCAAGTTATTACAATTTTTAAATGATCAGCAAGAAAATTTACAATTTTATCCTACAGGAGAAACATTTCTTTTTTCTTCAACATATACATTACTCAGTATGAAGTATTTTCATTTGAAAGCTGCATTGTTCATCAAACACAGGTGGGGTGAAGATGCTTTTCAAAAATAATCTCAAAACATAGAAAAATATTAAAATTGCTTTCTAAACAGAAAATTATATGTGTGCAATCCTTCCAGAATTGCTCCAAAGTAGCTTATATCTTTAGTCATAAAGACTCCATAAAATATTTTCAGAGTTGTAAATGTCCCATTCTGTCTCTTTTGGTATCTTTACCTTTTCCTAAATTGCATTTCTCGTTCTCCTCTCTTTCTTGACTAACAAAAGGTGCTTTTATTCACTTATAGATCAGATAAAGACCTGATAGCACATTCAAAGCTTCACTAAATTTCTTCACTAATGCACAAAAATTGATCTTTTCGCTACCTTTAATCTGCTTATCATTCTTGGTATGCAAATATGTCAAATGATGTGCTTTTAGTCAATTATGCAGTTTGATATTCTACATTTACATTCTAAAAGAAGTGATTTCAGAGGTGCTAAATATAGTAGAGTTTCATTTTAATAATTATAAGTTGGCTTGCAAGTGAAAAGTCATTGGAGCATAGTCTCTGGTTAGTTTACTTGTTAAACCCCATCAATGTGTATGGTTTAATCATCACGGATAGTACAGATCATCTCATAGCGTACCAGTTAGTTTTAATATGTCTGTTGAATTCAAAACAACTGCACAACAATTCCCCATTTACAATATGAGAAAACCACTTGCCTCAGCCAAATATTCAAAAATGTTCAAGAACTTTTATGGAAATACTGAGTAACTGCAATACATCTTGGTGTAATTAGGAAATTAAAATCTAATTGAGTGCAAAATCTAACTTCCAACAGTAAACGTACCATAACTTAGTACATAACCTTTGGCACTTCAAATATATTACAACAAATCTACAGCCATTTAGACCTTGAGTGGGTCAAAAGAACATTCATACGGTTTACGAGGTACAGAACTTGATAAATCCTTCAGTCGTCAAAAGAGAAATTACATGATGAAGTTGGCCTCTTTCTTTGTTCCAAATGTCTAAATGCACTACAACTGGTAGGGCTTGACTGGAATTGCTGAGGCTCCATGCAAGCAAAATTACCTAACCTACTGAATCCCAACATAGGGCTGAGAATACTCAAACTGCATTAATGTTAGTGCTGGGGAATGGGAGGCAGTTCCTAAAAATGGAAGAAAATGAAAAGAACAAAGATGAAAAGAAAAAAAAAAAAAAGAAGAAAGAAAATAAAATCTGGGAACAATTGTACCACAGAATTTTTTTGTCTAAGAAGAATAATTCTGTGCTGTCATAGAAAACTAACATTGTCAAAAGCATTAAGAAAGCAGAACTTTTTCAGCTTGTCCAGATGACAGTTAATCAAGATATTACTAATCTTTGCAGATTTAAAAATGAAAATATAGATCTTTTATATCTGAAAAAGAAACAGATATTACTTGATGATATAAGAAAACAGGTCAGGTGTAGAAAGAGGAGGAAAAGACAGTCATTCCTTCCAAATCCAAATCTAAATTGTCCTAAAATTTTTTTAATACCTTCTTACTGTTTCACAGCAACAGACTAAGATGCTTATGAAGGAAATTAAAATTAAGATCTAATATTGTTAATATTGTGAGGATTATTCTCCTACTGTATTTTCCCATTGTAAGTTCATCACGATATTTTGCCAATTTATTGAATAACAGTTATCCTTTTCATATGTCATCTTACAAACAATTATTAAATGATCAGGAAGACTTTCATTACATTCTTCTTTCATCTGCCTCAAAGAAAACTGACTTTTAAAAGCACTTACAAGGAATACAGATCTTTTTTTTTTTTCTTTTTTTCCAAATGATAACCCTTTTTAAGTACTTTAGACGTGTTTCAGCAACACAGCCTAATTCTAAAGGCATATACTTTGTTGTCTTAAGTTTAAAAACCTGAAGAGACATACATGTATATCATGTAAAACTCAACCTTAAATTGAGTCGGTTATATACTTGCAGAATTATCATGTCTATTTAAGTCAGTCTGTTCATTTCTCCTATATTTTTACTGTAGTAGACTAACTGAACAAAGTATTCTTATCTTATTCCATACTTTTCTCCATCCTATTTCTGACTCTATTAACACTGGTCAAAGTACTTTAACATATAAAAAGGCATGCAATAACTCCATACAAAAAGATCCTCAAAATAATCCTGTCATGAGCTCACTACCAAAGTTCAATCATTATACACAAAATTCAGCATTTAAGTGTAAAATAACTGATTCCAGCATGTGCCATTAGTGAAATGGCATGATATTTTTTACATTGTCATACGAAAAGCACATTGTATACAGTACAGCATTTACTCTGCAAAGATTGTGCATCACTGCTTTCTTCTAGCATGTGTAGAACGAACTGCATTCCGTTGCAACAAGTCACATTTAGATTTAGTAAAGCATACTACACTGGCTTGAAAACAGTGGTTTTGATGGCATGCTGTAATATCAGAATTGATATATTTGCATAATACCAATAATCGGTCGAGAAAACATTCAAAACAGCACAGGCTATCCCAGCTGAAACTGCCACACAGTGAACACTAAGCCATCAGATAAAACTGCATGGACATATTTCATGTGCATTATTTACTCTACTGTACGTATGGTGTACCTAAAGGTATTTTCAAGAAAAAAAAACAAAAAGTATGTAGCTAATCCAACAAAACATTACTTTTGGCAGTCTCTGCTAGTGTTTGGAGTAAAAAACAAACAAACAAACAAACACCAATAAAATAAAACAAACAAAAACATGCCATAGTTCTGTCTCCCAATTCCTGAAATTTCTTAGGACAAAAGTAATGAAAAGAAATCAAAATGCTGAAGTGTTATTTCCTTCCCCTAACGTATTCAGCAGAAAGTACCATCAAGGGTCACTATCTTAGCTTTTGGAAAATTTGCCAGCTTTTCGAGAAGGTTCATATGGCACTCTGAGAATGCTAGGTGTTTCTTCCATTACTCGTACAAGAAGATTATCAATGTAATCCTCCAGTTCACGAATATGGGTGTCCTTCTTCTTAAGTTGCTCTTTATGTTTTACCAGCTCCTGCAAAACCTCTTCATAGGTAAGGTTACGGTATCCTGCAGTGGCATCAAAAGGATTTACATCCTATAGAAAAATTAAAAACAAAAACAAGAAAACAAAACAAAACAAAAACAGATTTTATTAAACAGCTCATTGATCTGAACACGCTTTTGAGTTTTCATGTATTTCCCACATACATGTCTTAACAGAAGCCATTTTTCTTCTACAATATAACTCCATTTGCTCTAGAGCTTTTCCCTCCAATAACCGCACTGAAGCAAACAGTTGGAGACATGTTGCCCAGTTTGAACAGTTTCCCTCCACCATCACGTCAGCAAAAAATGTTGTTCTCAGAAAGACATATCCATGGCTTGTCAACATCTGAGCTGTAACCCCAAGAAAGGTTAGCAGGTCCATTCTGGAAACCGACTACATGGTAACATTAATAATAAAAGAAAAAGAGAAAGAGCCCTGAGAATTCAAGCCCAACCATAACGTTCTTGAGTTCTTGCCTTTTGAGAATATTATAGCAAAACATTTACTTAGCTTTAAATTACATCAGCCCTCATCTGTCTTTCATATTCTATTTTTAGTCATCAGTGGCTTGCCAGACCTTGGCCTCTGAATCATACATTACAACTTCCAATTTTAAATTTCAGGTGAAGTTAAAAGGCTGCATCTCATTTGCACCAGAGCACTTAAGGCAGAACTGTGTACTACTAAAAGATCTGGCTTGCTTCTTTCAAAGCAGAAGAGGCACAGAATTAAACAGCAAAGGAAACAGAGGTGTTTCAATAATGACGTCTGCTGACTCAATAAATACAGGCATTAGCAGAGATGGACAAATTAGTCCCTGTAACAAAGGGCAAGACATGGTCCAAAACACCACACACTTGAGTGTCTTATTCTGTGTCAAGAAGAAATAGCTGCAACCTTAAGGAACCAGATTAGGAGACATTTGGGAATGTATAAAAGAAAAAGATTCTGAGAGTCAGTTCATAAAGGTATTAGCACCACAAGACGTGAAAAACGGTAAGTTTTCTCTCGTTCAGGAACTGAAAAAAATCAAAGATAGGGAACCTCTAAGTACAATCATCTAACCTCTCAAATCCTGAACTACCAGGGCAGCAGAAGAACACAAGACAGCTTTTGTTTACAGTAGAAACTCCTCATTAAAAATGATAAAGCATGCACAGCTAGGTAGCACAGCACATAATCAAGTGTTCAGACACAAGTGTTCTGCTTCATTCCTTTTCTTCCCATACAGCTCCATATTTACACATTGGCATATGTCAAATCATTAAAACATGCAGGTGGTCAAAGTTTCCAAATAAACCTAATTAGAAGTGATGGTGTACTGCAAATAGGTTGAAGTACGACAGATCAATCAGCCTCTCTCCATCAATTATATTCTAATAGCAGCTCCTGAAATTACGTGCTTTTAAAGATTTCTCACTACATTTGAGATATTTAATGTCACGTTTATGTACTTGTATTTAGTATCTTAAACTTATCAAGTTGCAGCATTTTACAGGATCAATAATTCCCACGTTATAAAAATGTCTACCTTGATGAAATTTATATATTAGTTAGTAACTGATTTCCAGCAAGTATAGAAGAGAAAATAACTTCACTTTGTGGCTGTTAGATTTTTAACACGTCTTCTTCCACAAGAAGGAAGCTAAATCTTATTTTTACAGAATTATTAAAAAATATATAAAATGAAAAATTCACTTCGATGTCTAAAATATAGGGTTTACTTCATTTTCTGATTTGGCAAAGGAACTGGAATGAAGATGCAATTATGTTTTTAATTATTATATAAAGTTTACTGGAAAACTGTGTGTAATACATATGCTTTAAAGATGTGTTGCCATACACATGCTCTACACAGATCTTTTGAGTGAGTAACTTATCACGTTAAATATACAAGAAAATTCTAAAATGCTTTTACTACTTAGAAATAAATATTGTTAAAATTAGGAAGATTTTAAATGTCCATTTTGAACAATTATGCAACACATATCAGGAAGAACTATATCCTTACAAAAACAGCTACTAGAAATTTAATTCAAAACATCAGTCTTCTAATAAAGTATTTTTTAAAAAGATTTTAAATAACAGGCTATGCAAAGAAGGATTGCCTCAGCTACAAATTCCTACTGGGGAACAAGCGGACATCCAGAGGAGCCGGAGGAAGTGGAGTCAGATAAAACGAAGGCCTGGCAATCTCTGATCATCTCTTTATTGTTCTAATGAGGAATTCTGCTCTGGGAATATCATCTAAGCTACTTTCACATCTTTTGTCCTACTTACTTCATCTTCCTTTCAGTTCTTAATTAGGCCTTAAAGAGCTCACACTGCCCTTTCAACTGGCTACTGCTCCCATTCAAGCACTGCTTTCAGAGACAGGTGTTGGCACCAGAGTAGAAGACATACAAACATAATTACTAAATGTGATGCACAAGGAAGAAATATAATAACTTGGTGAGGGCTATTATTGCAGAACCTAATAATAAATTACTTCAAACACCTTAGAAAGCAATCTTGAACATTTAAAAAAAATAATCAAATGGTTTCATTCAAAACTATGGTTGAGATATAGCTTCTTCTCTCCTAATTTGTATTTTGTATTAGATGAGCACCACCTTATAATCCTGCAACTGACATTTAGGATAGCTGCTATTCCACAAGAAAAATTATCAAGGATTTCTTTTATCACCTTTAAATCCTTTAAATAAAACAATTCACATATTATTTCTTAAAAGAATTATAAAGATGCTTTTACCAGCAATAAATTACATGATTTGCAGTAGTACATTTGCAAGCACACAGAAACTGTAATTATGGTTACGTTACAGACAATAGCTGCAAAGTTAAATCAATTTTTTTGATGTTGTGTTTTGTCAGAGATTAAGTAACCGCCTGGTAGCATTCAGTTTACTATCTGATCAAAGGCAGCATTCATATACTCTGACATCTCCCACCAGTTACTTACATTATAAAAACTTGGGTGTTTATAATAACATCAAATATTATTACAAGTCATTTCCATAAAGCAGCAAAAAACAAACAGTACAAAGTCATACTTCCTTGTGAAATTTGTTTTCTATATATTTTAAAGATTGAAAACAAACCCACGTTTAAAGATTTGATCTATTCACAGAATAAATTCTAGTAAGACCACATTCTCTTGCAGACAAAGACACTGTACAGTAAATCCATGGATTTTGTTTCGTCTTTTCTTTCTTAGTACACATTTTTAGATACCTTTAGAGTCAAAAGAGTATTTGGAATAATAACTTCTAGTACATCTATTTTTAGTGTTTTCTGTGAGGCTGTTCATTTATTATTTGTGCTATTAATCTTGCCACATATCAGTTCATTACTTCCATTTGGATTGGCCACCTACAAATGGTCCTCAGGTCCCACTTTAGTGATAGGAAACACCTGCTAGGCCAGCTAATGCCTTGCTGCCTAATACAGGGTTACTCACCTGACTACACTTCTCTAGAGCTCTCTGAAATACCCCAATGTTTGTTTGTTTTTTTTTTTCCTTACTGTGTGTGTAAAAATCTAATTATCCCTTTCTTCTCTACATTGTAACACCAGAAGTTATCCAAATATTTTACACATTTCCAAGTTTATTTTAGGCCTCTAATTTTCCAACTAGATTTTCTGGAAATAGCAATCAAAGGCAAGGATAAAACAAACAAACAAAACATAAGCATTTTCTTATAAGAGGTTCAATAAGAATAACAGCTCATACTGCGTTGGGCACCAATTAGTCGGTATTTACTGATGGTTTTCCATGACACTTCATAACTCACCATTGTTTTCCTGAGGTCCTCAATGCCAGAAGGATTCGTATTAAAACTGTGGGGAAAACAAACAAACAACTATTAAAGGTCCATTTATCTGAACAAAACTTCTACTAGACACTACTAGTAAACCAGGTGTATTAGGTGTACAAAGTATTTATGATGATTTAGTTACCTGATTTGTGAAACGTATTACAATTAGTACAGTATTCAAAGTTAATGGAAAATTTCGTATATTCTTCATTCACAATTTTTCCTTTCCTTCTGGTCATAAAATTAGAGTAAGCAATGCTAAGATATTACAGATTGGGCTTCACTAGCTCTTTGATTATTTCAAGACTTACCTCAAGATTAAAAAAAAAAAGAGAGAGATACTTTAAATGAAATATTCTGGAAATAGGTCCCTAGGACAAGGTTGTTTAAAAAAAAAAAAAGACTAATGTGTATTGCCAGTTTTCACTGCAGCTGCCAGAGGAGAAAGGCCCTTCAGAAATTTCACTCAGGTCACCAGGTTAAGTTAGAGCTGAAAAGCTATCTTGTATTAATAATATTTATTTTACATATAAATTTGAGTAAAAAAGCTATTATTTTGTAAACTTAGAGATTATCTCACACATCCAGAAGGCAAAGCTATTTCACTGTATTGTATGGTTGAGATGCTTTTCTTCCTCAACTACAAAAGGGCAGTAGATATTGATAAAAGCAGCCATTGTCAAAGTATCAGACCCAAGAATCAGTCCACTGTTCTCATGGGTTGATGTAATTATTTGCAAATGTCTTCAAAACTCAGTGCTTGCTGTAGGAAGTTTCACGAGAAACTAAGTCTTAGAGAAACCGTGCGCAGAATTTGGACACAAGTCAGAATTTGGATATGACTCACTGATAATATTTACTTCGTAGCATCATAGTAGGTATCATTACTTCACATCACAAAGCCTACCATTTAGTCAGGTTGTACCTATTGGCTGTCAAGGGTAACATCTGTTGACAGCTTCTAGAAAACAGATCTCTGGAGTTGGCTGCATTGAACTGGTAACAAGCTACTACGAATGCTACATAAGCTTTCATAGACTTCAGAAGTAACAAGTTCATTTCTTTCATATTTTTTTTACACTAGAGAACCTCAACGGCCTAATACTACTGATTAGTTCTACAGTCAACAAGCTGGTACATGAATACAAATAAATTAGTAATAAAATACTGCAATCCTAGTCTCTGGTTGAAAGAGTAAGTCCAAAAGTTACACAAGTAATTGTACACCTTTTTTAATAATTTTAAATGTAGCTTAAAGGAAGGAATTTTGTGTCCACCACTCTTTGTTCTCTACATTTGAAAGCCATGTATTTCATGGTGTAAAAGTGGAAGAGACATAATACATAATAAAACATCATTTTGTGTACTTTTTTGTTTCAAAAGTAGTCTTTTGCTCATAGAGAAGCCCAGTGAACCATCTGCCAGACTGAGGATATTAGATGAAGATTGGATTACATGACCAGTCACAACCAGAAATAAAAAGGTGTCTGAAGAATCAAGTTCTGGCTAATTCCCATTGTACCTGTTTGTAACAGTGATCTGAAGCATTCTGCTGGAGTTTGCTGGAGAACGGTTTTGAATGAGGGGCCGCTTTCATCGGGTATTGTCTAAGCAGCGAAAGGCAGGAACCCTCCCTCACGGCCTGCCTTTTAGTTGCACACTGATGTGTCAAACCCATGATGAACTTGCTTCATTCATGGCTGCCTTTTGTGATCCAAGCACAAAAAAAATGAGTTAACTGAACTGGATCGAATTAGCTTGGTGAAAACCAAGAATGTCTCTATTTAACGAAGTGTGGCGTTAATTTGGGCTATCTTTCTTTTGGGACTGTTTCCTCATGTTAGACAAGATATAGAATAATGCGGCCTGACTGCTCAACTGAGCGACTTTCTGAAAGGTTAAAACAGCAAGATCTTTCACTGCACTGAATGACTTTATGGTTTCTGCAAAATAACTTCTGGGACTCTCTTTCATAGCAGCAGCTTAAAAGAAAAGGGGCAGTTCTGACTAGGAAAAGTTACATTAGAAAATTAGAAATATAAATCACTGCCAATATGGGCTATTTTTTTTCCAACTAAAAACATATCTTGTTTCTCTAACATTGTGGACATTGCAATTACAAAAGAGTACATCCGCCTATTTCACGTGAAGTAATTTGAATACCACTGCAAAAAAAAAACGAAAAACTATTAAATGCAATATTCACCAATAAAACCCAAATCCCACGAATACTCATATTTTAGAGAGATATGTGGAAATATACTGCTTCTCAGTGAAGCAGGAAGAAACAGGTGCCGAGATTGCGTCTAACATTTTCAAGTCAGATTGTCTAACTAACTGACTTGGGAGCTCCATGGCCTCGCCGAGCCTCTCTGGGTTTCCCGGCAGCTCTTCCAGCCCGAGGTGAACGTGAGCAGTTGCAGACTCTCCCAGCTGCACCCATAATTCACTGTCCAAGAACCTTTTAATACCTTGAAAGAGCATACTGTAAAATTATGAATGCATACAGCTGGGGGAGTTGCAGATATTGTGCACTGAAATTAACGAGAGCATTTATTTTTGCATTTAAATTTCATCACAATAACACACACCCCTTCAGTTATCATCTTACTTGATTGCTTGATAGCTCATAACAGACTACAGAACACACACCTCTAGGACTACAGCCCATGAATTGCACAATGATCATAAGCATCCTTCAAGCAACTCTTTTCTCAAGTCCGTAAGAGCATTCCAAAAGTATTGATGTAAGCAATAATATGAAATCGTGTCATTTTTACTGCATTACCATCTCAGCACATAGGCAAGCTATAGTCATGACTCTTTTTTTTTTCCCCCAGGGTTTGATAAATTTGCAGGGAACTTCTGCTATGGAAAAGTCTGGGAGCAAAAAGCTTGGGAAAAAAGAATCTTTTTTGTTTTTAGAATGCAGTTCACTGTAAAAAGTGATTGTTAAAAAATGATATTATGACTATAATTACTGTCTCAATTATGTCCAGGCTTAACCTGGTCAGTTTATAAGTAAAAAGATGTTTCTTTTCTAATAAATGGATTTTTCACCAACTCCCCTGAGAACTGAAGTCAGGCTGGGTTTCTCTGGCTCATGCATCGTCATTAGGACTGTGTGTACCTCCCAGGTGTTACATCTGATTCTGATGCCTGCTTATTGCATGTACCTTCCAACCTATACAAACTGGCCTGACTGCTCCTTGCTCCTGTTTCCTTCATCATCTCAAGGAATGGAGTCATCTTCTCCTCTTCTGCTCATCCAGACAGGCTGAGAAGCCTCCCTCTCCACCACTGTAGGTCAGGTCCCACAGCGATTGGTATCAGGAGGTCCATAAATCTTCTCTTACAGCTAATAAATTTTCACTGTCTGATCACCTTTAAGAAATTTGGGAACTAGTAAACGAAGTCAAATCACATTGGCAGGTCTGAGGAAGAACGCACAGGTTCAAGATCAGCTGCAGGAAGATCAAGAAGGGGACTGACCAAGCACGCCACCCAGCTTCCACATCCCCTCTAGCCACCAGCGGTACAATAGTCTCATTCAATCTAGCAAAGAAATTCATTATGCCCCCATTTCACTCATCTGGGAATTCAATTATTTGCCTTAAGAATTACTTTATGTCGGATATTTTCATCGCATTAAATCATACCCATTATTGTACTACAACTTTGTCTTTATATGTTTACTGCACAGTAAAGCTTGCTAGAATTTCTGTTTTATTAGCTTAGATTTCAGTTTAGGTATGTGAGATGAGAATCCTTTCCTATTGCCATGTTGCTGGGGGGAGAAAAACGATGAGAAATAAATATGGTATAAAATGATAATGGTGACAGACATACATAAGTCTGATTCTACGTTTTGGATCATAATCATAACAAGCATATTATTTCTACTTTCTTGCTATTTTCCTTAAATGCATTTTGTTAGAATCACATGAAACTCTCAAGCTTCTTTCCTAACACCTCCCCTTTATGAGGCAGTTTCATAGTTGCATTCCTGGCTGATTATTTGCAGTTTAGGTAGGGACTTCAGTGGAAACATTCCAGGAACGGTGTGAAGGAGGCACTCCTCCAGCACAATCAAGGTGAAGCACTGCAAGAAGAGGGGCCACCCATTGCTGAGCCTTCCCTGTGCTAGTATAGCACTGTCTGGGTTCTCTATTGTTAAGATTAAATGTACCTCGAGTTGAAGATTTATCACAAGCTCAAGTTTATAATTGGAGTTTTAAATTTTGTCTTCTGAAGTTTAATGGTAGTTAAAAATTCAAACATTAGGACTAGTGGCTGCTTAAATATTTAGCTTCTAAGTATCTAGAAATTAAAACCATGCTTATTTTTTTTTCCTACAACTGATTTAACCATTTTAGTGCCTGAACCATTTACTCCGACAACATAATGAAGGGGAATCAGACTCCTAAATTATGCTGTATGGAAATCCTATTTTTCCAAGGAGCGAAAGCTTTTTACTTATGTTATCCATATTAGTTATATGATCACTGCTTTGTATACTATTAGAAATTAAAATGAGGATACTTACATTAATATTTAATATTCAAAGTATTTCATATTATATATGAAGTATATTTCATATTATATATGAAAGTATTTCATATCTTGTAAAATATCCATTGTATCAATTTGTTCAGTGTGAACTTTCAGTTTTGTTTAATTCAGAACATCTCTGTAAAGGTAATTAGCAAAACTCTACCATGGTCATATTCTGTTAGTCTAAAAATTATTCTTCTTCCTACTTACTTAGTCTTTGGCCTGTTGCTTATTTTTCTTTGGATTATCACAACACACATACCAGCAACTCAAAATACTAAGATACAGTTTAAGTTATTACCAATGTACTAGAAAAACAAAAGAAATGAATAAAATCAGATACAGTTAATGAAATTCAGAAACTGAGTTTTCCATAGAATAGGATTAGCCTGCTGTGTCTGGCAATGCAGACATCACTTTAGACTCTGAAAAGGAATGACTGTCACGTCTGGCAGTTAAGCAAGCATA